ATTTAAATTTAATAAATGATAAGAAATAGTATAATTCTATTGACATATTTTTAATTGTAAAAAATATTTATAAATTATATAATAATACCATTAATTGTCTTCCTTCTTCATTGAGCATAATAGTATCTATAGATTGATGAATATATATTCCATCTCCTAATTCATCTACATAAAGATTCAAATCTGTTATGTATTTGTGCACACTTTCAAAAGCTAAATAAAATCTTGAAATTATATCAGAAAAATTGTTTCGTAATTCTTCATCTGTTTCTTGAAGTATCTACAAAAAATATTTTTTATAGATAAAATAGATTTAATATAATTTTAAATAAAAAGTTTTATTATATAATAGAAATAAAAATAAATTGTATAAAAAATTATATAAAATTGTATAAAAAATAATAATACCTAGATATATTAAACTCAATTAAATTTCATTCAAAAATAAAAGTAAATATTAAACTACATATTTATAGTCAATTATATATTTTTAATATTTAATCTGTACTTACTGGATCACTTTCTATTTTTTGTTCATAAGTACTAACAGATTTAAAATATATAAAATCAATTATAATAGATCCATATTTTTGTACAATTGGTTTTGAATCCAAACTGTAAAATAAAAAAAAAACTGTAATATACTTGTATAATATATTTATAATTTATACAATGTCTATACAATATCTATAATACTGTAAATCATATTTTAAAATTATTAAAATAATTATTATTAATACTTTTGTAAATAATAATATTTATTTTATCAATAAAATATATCTTATACTTTATAAGGGTATAAATAACCTAAATACAGGTGGTACATAGTCCTTTAATCTCATTAATTCTGCTATAATAGCATTTCCACGAGATACCAATCGTAATAAATTTTGCGCACAAATATTATTAGATGTCAAAAAATCACTCATTTTGCATTTATTTATTTTAATAAGAGCAATTCTAATAATTCATAGACATCGTTTTAACAATGTCAACAATCTCGTTATGAAAGGATTAAGAAAAACTATCAATAAATTAATATAAAATATATTTAAATTTAATGAAAATTAATTAAATTATAAATTATTAATAAAAAAAATAATTTCATTAAAATATTTTAAAAATACTATATTAATGATATATATTTCATGAATTCAAAAAATATCTAACATCGATAACATAACGTTAAAAAACAGTTTAAAATGCATAGAGATAAAAAATATTTTTTTAAATATTAAATATCATTTATTAAGCAAATAAATAAGTGTTTTATATTTAATATTATATTATTATACTAAAGGATTATTAGTTTTATCAATATAAAAATATTATATTTCAAAATGTAAAATATAATTTTTTTTTAATTCTATTATTTAATTTTTAATCTTTTATAACTATTTTATATTATATTTTTTATGATGAAAAATACTTTATATTGTTATATTCTATTTTCTATATCATTATAGCAAAACCTTTATATTTTATTTATTATATATATTTAAAATGTATTAATTTTTTAATTCAATATATATTTTAATTTATTATTGAAATAATATAATATTTTATATTTCAAAACATATTATTATATGAAAAACAAATATCCATTTCTGTAATTATAAATTATCATATAAATAAAATGCTTAGTTTATGATATAAAGATCAATAATAATATAACCTAAAGTATAAACAATATATGAAGTATAAGCAATGTACTATTTTATAAATTAAATTAATTTCATTTCATGAAATAAATATAATTCAAATATTCAAACAAAATAAAAGAAATATAAATTAAAAAGAAAATATATTAAAATTGTTTTAAAAAATTTAACTTGATAACTATATTTGATCATATGATTATAATGTTTTCAAATATGTTTTATAGAAGTGTATCAAATTCTATTTGTAAGTTACGAAAATTTGTTTATCAATCATTGATACAAAATTCTAAATATGAAAATCCTATTTTTTGTAAATCTTTTCATTCTTCATCCAAATGTCTATTTCAAATAAAAAATATAAGGTATAACTTTATATAAATATTTATATAAAATTTATATAAAAAAATACTAGTTTTCAAGTTATTTTGTTATAAAATGTTTAAATACTATTTCAATATACAATGATATTAAATTTTTAATATATTTTTATATTATTATATATATATTATATATATATAATAAAATATAAAATAATATTATTATGTATATTTATTTTACATATAGACAAAATGAAAAACAAAAAAATATAAATATACGAAATATAAATACAAATATACAAAATAATGTAATATTGTATAAGAATAATTCCAAAAATGATTTTATTTTATTAAAAGTGATTTTTTATGGATGGTGTATTTGTAATACATTGTGGTTATTAAATACTTATAACTCAAAATATATATCAACATTATTTGAAAATATATCTTGGAATCAATATTTGAAAAGAAATGGACTAAACATAATGTATTTTATGTATTTTGGAATTATTGGTAACTAATATTTATAACAATTCAATTTTTTATGTTTATTGAAATTTATGTAATATATTAAAAATTTATTTATATCTATTTTAATGATTAGGACCTGTTGGTGCTATATTATTCTATATGATAAATTATAGATTTGTAAAATATATTATTTTACATAAAGGTGGTAATAATGTATCAATAATTACCAATCATATATTAAAAAATAATTATATTATGACACTTCCTATTAATAAGGTATATATTTTTATTTAAATTTATTATTAATAAAAATAATACTATTTTTATTTTATTTTAAATTATTTTAATAACTCAAAATATTTTATATTTCTTTATTTTTTTATACAATATATATTTTATTAAATAAATACATTTTTTTTTATATTATATTTTTTTATTTTCAAGATAAAAATTATATTTGCAAGAGATAAAATGACAAATTATTTACCTATGAAAATTCAAGGTATAACATTTTATTATATTATTGATGGCAAAGGAACATTTTTAAATAAAAAATTATTTGATTATACAGTTGGAAAAGCAAAAGATTGGTAAAAGTATTATATAATTTATATATATTACAAATAAATTATTATGAATTAAATATATAATAATTTAATTTATACATTTTTTTTATTTTTATTATCTCGTGTGAAATAAAAAATTGTTAGGATGGTTTTAAAAATATTTTTAAAATAATGATATAAATCATATAAATTTATAATATGTTTATAAAATAAATAATAATTACTATTCTATATATATAACTAAATTTTCAATGTGTTAATATAGTAGATATATATATAATTACATTCTTGTTTTGAAATTCAAATGAATTATGTATACAATATTATATAAATAAATTTACATTATATATATTGTTTTCAATATCTTTGTTTATCATAATATTTACATGAATATTTGCTTAAACGATCACTATATCCATCATCATGATATTTATCTTCTGCTTTATAATATACTTCAGGTGTGGATCCTACATGTCCTTGCCAATATTTTGTCCAATAAAAATCTTCTGGATTAATATCATGTGGATGTTTTGCATTTCGAAATACATGTACACAATATATAAGGCTTCCTATTAATGTTAAGAATCCAAACACAAGAAATACTATTCCCAAAATCCTAAAAAAAATCCAAAATTTTTTTATAAAATATAAAATAAAATTTTTTATAAAATCAAAAAATAATATACATTATATATACATAATTAAACATTATTCAAATTTATAATATTATTTTATAAAATTGGAGAAATAATAAGAGAAATAAATTACTTTTTTTTAAATATATACTTACCAAACTATCAATGGTTGAAAAAATTGAATGACTATAACAAAACCTAATGTAACAAGAATCAAACCAAGATTAAGAAGTAACATGAGACAGCAAATTCCTTTAGTATTTGGACAAAAAGGATTGGGTGTTGACATAGTTTCTATAATAATACCATTTTTTCTGGATGTATGAGATTTTGTAGAACCATAACTACAATGACTAGGTGCACGATGTCCTAATCTTGAACTTGGTGTTAAACTGTGATGCGATACATGGCTATTGATTAAATAATAAGTTTTATAATAAATATATACATGTAAAACATTACACTTTATAAGTCATATTTATGACCTTATATCTGAAGTTGCTCTATATGCAGCACTTGTAACATATATATCTGAGCCATTGTCACATATGCTACTATGTGAAGTACTTTTTCTAAGAGGATGAAGACTATGTCTTGAAGATCCTGATAATATTGAACCACGGCTATTATGTATATTTTGTGAATGTCTTCCTTCTTCTTTTTCATATTTTTCTGGATTCTTCTTCATTGATTTTACCTATTAATATAAAATTTATATTATATTTATATTTATATTTATATTATTATAAAATTTAATATATATATATATATATCTATTTAATATTATAGTATATATAATATATAATAGTATATATAATAAATAATATGAAAT